GTCATATCTGACTTTCTTTTCTGCTGCTTTTGTTTCTTTTTCAACTTTCTTAGCGTATTTAATTTTGCTAATCACAACTTCTTTTATTCTCTTTCCTTTAGTATTAATTACTTCAATTTTTAATACTTCTTGATGGTAAATTGCTTTCAATCTCTCTATTCCTGCATTGTAACAACCAATTAGCTTTTGACATCCTTCCAAATGCATTTGACTATAATGTTTAAATAATGGATGTTTCATTGGTTCTATAAATTCAAAAGCTTCTACAAGCGTATTTATTAAAATCCAAAAAGCTTTTTTTTGCTAGTTAATTGAATATCTTCCTCCAGCTATTACATAATCACTTATAAATTCACTAAGAAGCAAATCGATCCTCTCTTTTTCAACTTGTGAACCTTTTATTTGGTTTTTTAAATTTTTAAATTTTTCTCATTAATTACATTATCTATAATATTTTTATTAACAAACTTGATGCTAAAAATTTTGAGTATTTCATCAAAAGCATAATAGTGTCTATTATATAAAAGATTAACTGATCCTATATATCAAAGTAATTCTTTTGTTTGTGAATATTCTTCTAATAAAGCAAGAAATTAGACAATTGATTTAGTATAATTCAGTTTTTCAGCTATGGAAAATAGAGGCGCAAATGCTGCTAGAGACCTAAGTTATATAACTGCATTTTCAGTTTGTATTTCTGCTTAATGTAATTTCTACTAGCAATTCATTTATAAAAACAAAATCATATTTTAAGTAAGTTGTTTATTCCATTTTCTAATTAAAAAAAAGCAATTTTATTTTTAGTGAAATATATCTTAATTGAACAACTAATAGCTACCTACCGTAGAGCGCACTCTATAGTACTCAGGTATTTTACATTCTATAAAAATTTCGGGGGTACTATTATCAAAGGTATTGTGATGTAATAGGGGTATAATATATAGTAATACATTTTAGCTATATATAGGTAACAAGGTAAGTGACGTTTTGTTAAATTTGCAAGTTTCGTTATGATGATAATTGGAAATAAACGTCATAACTATGCTAGGCTTACTAAAAAACTTCGATGACAATAGTATGCTCGTGAAAAGCTTATGATATTGCATTATGCACAAAGAGTTCAAAGTAAAAAGGCTGCTGCAAAAAGGTTTTGATATTGAACTAAAGCAAATAAGAGATTGGGAAAAAAAGGAAGCAACTTATGTCTTCAGCTCTATATATTAAAAAGTTACATCCAGGGAGGTCTCCAAGTTTACCTGAACCAGAAAAACTACTATTTCAATGGTTACAGAATTTAAGACAAGAAAGTAAAGCTGTAACTTGCAATATAGTTATAAAAAAGCCAAAAAAATGGTGGAAGTTGATGAAATGAAACGACTTTATTCAACAATCCAAGATTTTAAATTTTCTAACAAGTGGTTAGATGGTTTTATTGGTAGATATAACTTATTTAACAGAAGAAGAACAACAATATCCTAACAATTACCCGAAGATTTAATTGAAAAACAGCACTCATTTTTGAGTTTTATTCTTTATAAGTGTATACAATATGATTATCCACTTAATTTAATCGCTAATCTTGATGAAACTTCCCTTAGTTTTGATTTACCATCTTCAATAACGTTAGAATTAAAAGGATCTAAAACTGTTAGTATTAGATCGACTGGTCACAAAAAAAATTGTTTCACAGTAGTTTTGGCATGTATGGCTGATGGAACTAAATTAGAATCTGTCATTATTTTCAAATTAAAGAATATATCTTGTGAAGTTTTTCCTGATGGAGTAAAAATTCGGGTCAATGAAAAAGGTTAGGTTAATGAGGAAAAAATATTTTGGTGGATTGAAAATGTATGATGTAATAGAGCTAGTATAAATAATAATCCAAGAAGTCTTTTAATATTTAACTCCTTTCGTGATCATTTGGTTAATAGTGTTAAAAATAGACTTGATGAAAAATAACAAACATTGCAGTAATTTCTGAAGGACTGACTAGTAGACTTCAGCCATTAGATGTTGGAATCAATAAAATTTTTAAATCTAAGGTATTTATTTATTTATTTTTTTTTTGATTTTTTTGATTTATTTTGATGGTTTTACTTAATGAGCTTTTTTATTTTGTTAGATTCGTGAATTATATAATGAATAGATGTCTGAAGAAGTTCATGAATTTACTTCAGCTGGAAGGATCAAAAGATCTGCTTATAATAAAGTTGCATAATGGGTTAAAGTAGCTTGGGATAACATTGATATTGAAAAAATTAAAAAATCCTTTAAATGTTACGAGATTTCTGTAACAAAAGATGGTACTGAAGATGATCTTATTTTCGATTATGATTTGCTAAATGATGAAAATGAAAATCCTAATAATGATAAGGTGTTTGAAGATAACGTATATGATGATTTTATTGATGGTTATGAAAATTCATAAAATTAATTAGAATATCAATTTAGATAATGAATTATAAATTGTAATAAGTTTTATCAAATTAGCAATAAAAATAATTTTTTTTAGATCGCTATATTAAATTCAAAAATAAAAATTTTATTTAAAATAAATTGTGATGTATAATACCCAGGATACTTACACAGAGTCACTATATTCGCAATGTATAGTACTTGGGGTATTTTACATTCTAAGCTGCTCAAAAAGTGGGGTCATTATACACGGGGGAGGTATTATAGAGTACACTCTATGGTATGTTAAATCTAATACACGACAAGTTGACCTATAATTAACTACTGCTTCTAATTTATCAAGAAATCTTACTCCTAAAATAGCTGTTAAGTTATAGATACCATAACTTGAAAATAAAGTTAATAGAACATTACACATATTCTTAGATATATGCTATTGTTCAAGTAAAGGTTAGATATGTGAATTTTTTTCATATAATTTTATTATGAGTTTAAAAATAATTTCATCGTAAAATACCTTTATTGATTCATTATTATTTAAATCTAATTCTTCAATAAATTTGTTACAAACAGCAAAAATTTCTTCATTTTTACTTAGATTCTCTCTAGCCTCGAGAATAACAACTTTAGGAACTGGATATTATATATTAATATTAACATATTCAATAATTTTCATATTAACAGTTTCACAATCAAAATCTTGTGAGTAATTAATTAATTCGTGATTTACCAATCATGGGATATCGATCATATATGCAAGTAATAATCAAAACGGAGATAATCAATATATTTGAGTGAGTATACTTGTAATAATCTAATAGTGTATTATTAAAATATTATAATAAACTGTTTAAATATATCAAAATGGTGTAAAACTTCAGTAATATTGATTGTTACTGGTATAATTATTCCCAACTTGCATTTTGGACCTTTTTTAAAAAACTGGTAGCATGTTAAATCGTTACAGGAGAACGGAATAAAAGTAGAATAATACTTTCCTTTTCGAGTTAGTATGAAAATACAGATTGAGCTAAAAAACAAATCTTTTATTATTTGAATAGTTCAAGAAAATAAACATAACAATTTGTTATCAGGATTTTTTTGTGAATCTTTGTCAGAATCTAATGAAAAAGTTGAAAATGACCCTATAAGTGTTATTTTAAACCTCTATAAAAGAATATTTCAAACTGAAACGTGCTTTTCTGAAAAATTAGTAATATATATGGATGATAATAACATTTTAAGTGAAATTGTATTGGACTTGTCCTTTCTACCTTTTTCAATAAATATACAAAAGATCAATATAACAATACATTCAATTGGCATGTTAATAAATAAAGGAGTTGGAGGTGGATTTGCATCATCCTTTATCTATACCAAGTCAAAGAACATGCTTTATTTTTCTAAACTATCAATGAGAATGAAAGTTCTATTTATATTTACAAAGAAAACTAATTATCTGAAGAATTTTATGGATCAGATCCTAATAGTGTGTAGAAAAAAATAAGCATATTAAAGAATGATTAAGCGAGATTTTATTTGGCTTAAATAATTTTAACGTAAATAAAAACTAGAATAATTGGAAAAATTTATATATTTTCATAATGAATAATACAATTATTCAAAAATAGAGCAAATATTCAGATATCATTTACAAAAAAGAACATGTAGTCAAGTTGATTGATATTTATTATTTCAGAAATAGAAAGAAGATAATTGTCCAATAATTGAATTATATAGTTAATTAGCTTCATTATATCCAAATAGTTATATTTTTTCAGAAAGAGAAATGAGAGCATAACGAGCAATATGTATTAGTTATTTACTGTAAAATCAGAGATATCATCAGGAATCACAGTGCAGCTATGACCCTGATGATGTCAGCGATTTCATGGTAAATAACTATTATATTTCCTGATTACTAACGCCTGTGATAAGAAAAATCACATGAATTATGTAAGTCACATGTTATTGTGACGTAAAAAGCACTGTTTTTTTACATTCATAAATAATTTTTTTTTTACAATTTTTTTAAATGAGATCAAAAAAGACTGTAAGATTTAACATGTTTACAACTAAAACATCCAAAAATATTGACTTAAAAGGAAATTTTATTTCTGAGCAACAAATTCAAGATTAAAATAAGAAACTGTTACAAATTATAAATCTTGAATCACAAGATTTACCAATTAATATGCCTTTCAATAATAGTAGTAAAGGTAAGATTCCGATGTTTAATAATTGTCACTTTCAAATGTTAACTTTTACTTTTTTATGCTTGTAATAATGTAATATTTTAAAAAATGCTTTTTTCTATATCAAACTTATTAAATAAAATATATTAAATATTTTGCGGTACGATTTTTGTTTGATATATCATGGTAATTGCGTCATATTGATATTTCACGAAAAATTCAACTCCGATAGTGTTTCTGGTAAAATATCAATATAAAACATCACGGACGAACAATTAGTAAGCGGGTAATATTATGTGTTACAGGATGTATCAATATAACACTATTTGATAAAGAAAAATCAGAGGTAAGCTTTTAAACAAATCTATTACCTTCAATAGCAAAAATCTTATGTTAATATTTCACGAATCTGGTGGTGATGATACTATAATGGTGGTATATTGTAATATAAATTCTGTGATGAACAGCACATATTAAATTTTATTTTATTATATATAAAAAATAATGTTATATTTCTATTAATTTCTACATTTATATACATTTTTTTGCATTTGATAAATATAAATAATAAAGAAACGCAAGTGTATCGTCAACTAATAAATTTTCTTACCAATTATTATAGTATAAATTTTGGATGCGATCATATGATCCTGAATTAGATAAAGCAATGATCAATATACTTTATCAAAATGGTTTTTTACAAACAATACCAAGTAATATGTTAATGTTATAGAAGTATTCTGTAAAAGTTCTGAGCATAGTTTGAGTTTAAATAAATGTGGCACTAATGGGAAATAAAGAATACTTTTAATACTTGCAGATAAGTTTCCTTATAAAGAATTACAAACCAAACTTCATGTAATTATTTTATAATTACCTTTAAATAAATTTTTCGCAAGTTAATTCATTATATTTTGTAGGTTTCTTTATATACAATTCATAATGCAAAAATACATAGACGTATATTTGACTACGGATGTCCAGCTATACCTAAGCCACCTATGCGAAAAAAATTATGCCTCAAGAGCATAAAGATCAATTCGAATGGTTTATAATTAGTAAGAAAAAGTGAATTTAAATTCTTACAAGGTTAATGTTAAAATAGGATTGCTATTAAAATACCTTAGTGATCAAAAAGAAGCTCTTTGAAAAAAATTTCACAAATTGCATCCTAAAGGAATAAAAAGATCAGCATTTTTGGAAAGATTGGAAAATAGACCATTTGTATATCAAGAGAATTTGGGTGGACTTTATAGTACTTGTAATACATATAGATATGATGTGTTTAAGGATTTAACGAATCTAATTATACAAAATATTGAAAATCAGGAACTACAGGTATTATTCTATCTGATTTTTGTTTCTATAATTATAAGATATTCAAAACTAATAACAAAATTGTAAATTAAATGCATTTACTTAAAAGTATTGAAAAATCTAAACAATTTCTTAAATGTGATTATCCAAAACACTTACATGTGACATATGATGAAAAAGTATTGCATAACCCTTGTATTAATCATTGCCTACTATTTGCATTTGGTAATTGTGATGAAAATCATATATTTAAGTATGTTGAATGTAATGAAATCTTCAATTTATTTGAAGAATTATGATCATTACTTAGAGATGAATAACAAGAAACATTGAGAAAATTTCAGAAAATGCTAGAATACTATCTTGCGCACCTAACAAGAAAAGGTATTTAAATAGTCAATTCAATACAAATCTTTTACAACTTAATAATGATAGTATTCTTATTATGATAGACTATAAGATGTGAATATTACTAAAATGAATTCGAGAAACAAAATAAGACTTTTATGTAAAACGTAAACGGGTACTGCATACTTTTTTTAATATATTCTAAAAATTAAAAAAGCAACGAATTAGAAATTCAAGCATTTGACTATTAGTCAAATGATAATAGACAGGACGCGTGGTTTACTGCTTTATCCTTTAATGCAGTATTTACCTTACTTGATCCAAAGCCAAGATGGGTTATTGTAATGAGTGATAATAGTTCACATATTCATTATTCAGAAATGATAGCATTGGTTTCAAAATGGGCAAAATGGTATAATATTGAATGTAAAAAGTGATGTTTTTTAAAGGCAGACGAAGCTAAAACTTTAATTGATAGTTACCATGTATAAGTAATGATTATATTTACTTTGCTTTTTTTGACGAATATATTCATTTGAGCAATTCTCAACCTTTTTAATTTAATCAATCTAAGATCTCACATGCTATTAAGAGATATGTTCAATTAGGGTTTGATTTAACTACTGGTAAAGATATTGAAAAGGTATTAGATAGTTTAAGCGATACAATAACAGCTTACTTAATATCTAATCGTGATCAAAGAAGTCAAAATAATATTAAAATTATATCAGAAATTTCTAATTGATTTGAATGGTCTTAGCCAATGGAGGGTCTTTAGCTGGATATATTTGTATACGCAACCTTTCTAATTTTAAAGAAACAATGACTTTTTCTGTGAGTAAGTTTACTAAAACAGAACTTATACAGCCCAAACTAATAGTGGGTAAATATTTTAAGGCTTCTTTAAAATAGACAATGCCAATATATTAAGCTTCAGGCAAGCTTATTTTTTCAATAGCATTAATGGCGTTTTAATTTAATAATCATACTTATTGTATGATTTCATTTGATCAATTTTTATTTGGTAGTGTCAAATACTAATCATTAGGATTTAAGAAAGTGGTCAGTTGATAAATTAAAAAATGAATTAAATAGAAAAAATATTCAATTTGATATTGGTATGAGATGAAGTGAATTAGTGAATTTATTAAAGCAAGTAATAGGAGAAGAATCACAAATTGGTGAAGAATCAAAAAAAGATTTTTCAAAAACAAATATAGATGAGTGAGTAAAATTGGTTTTATTATGTAAAATAATTGATTATTATTGATCAAATACTTAAAAACTTCCAAAATATAATAGGAGTCAAATATTTCACCTACAACTTGAATGGGCATTTAAATGCAATCAGAAATATGGTAAAAAAGGCAGTGAAAAAAGGCTGGTAAAAGAAGTAGTAACAGCATTAACTTACTTTTTTATGGTTAGATAACGTGATCCTAGTGACTGATACACTGCAAAGGATATGCTGAATAAGTTAAAAGAAAAGGCAGAGAATAGAGAAATTACAACTGAAGTGATACCTTTTCTAAAAATGATAGAAAATTAGATTACTAGATATTCAAGTTTATCAAAAAACGAATATACAGAACAGTTTTTAAAAGAATAAATATTTTGATAAATAAATTATAAATAAAAGATTATAATAAATTTTACATATTAAGACTGATTCTTCTAGACAACTGATAGTTTTGCTACATTGAAAAATATAGAAACTATTTCTTTTTTGATAATATAAAATTTGTGTTTGACTTTTAGCAATTTCAATAAAAATTCTCCAAAAATAAACAAAATATAGCTTTTTTATCTTTTTTTTTATTATTAGAATAAGTTTATAAACTATAACTCCAAAATTTGAACAAATATTAGAATTATATAAGTCAAAATTATAAAAGAGATCTATATATTAAAGGTAATAATTTAACATTGTTCACTAATAAACCTTTTGAAATTGAAAAACAAAATTATCAAAAAGTTATTTTGATTGAAGTGTGTAGTTATAATAACGTATTTACGAAAAAAAGATGGCTGAAAATTGTATATAAAATTGTGTTACTTAGTGGCTAATTTTCATAATTTTCCAGAATTAATTAGTGATTGGTAAAATTTTACCTTATGTTACACTGAGAATTTTATGTTACTGATTGGTAAATTACGAATTAATTGATTTCATTTTAATTAAAAGTTAATAGTTGTTCAATAATTATTTCCAATTCAATTAATGCTTTCTTAACAAATTGATTAAAACTAAATAGATAAGTTTTTTGATTTGAATTTACAATCTCATCATTTATTAAATCTAATGGTACTGGTAATTTAAACTAGAATAATAATTTTAACGTAGCATAAGATATCATCTGATTAACATTATAAATGTTCTCATAGATAAATGTCTTAATTCTTAAAAGAGATTTGCTTCTAACATTCTTTTATTTTCTAAATGTCTTTTATGTCTTATTGTATAGAGTATAATATTAACTGATTGAAAAACTTTATAAAACAATAATAGTAGATACAGTTTACAATATAAACTAGATAGCATATTTGGAAGCCAAAGTTTGATGTTATTTTAGGTAATTGAAAGAATTAATGAAGTTAAAAAAATTGCAATTCTTTGAATTTTTCGTTGATTGTCTAATTTTATTTATTTATTATGATTCTTATTCATTTTATTTGACTTTTTTATTTTTGTTTTAATAATATTTGTGTTAATTCTTCAAAAAAGCAAAATAAAGAAGGCAGTATAGAATTTTGATATTCTTGAAGTAACATTAGTATTTTTAAAGTATTTTTTTGTAAATACATGTGCTTTCAATTTTTTTCTATCATAATTGCAAATTTTTTTCTAATTTTGTATATTTATCTGTTGTTAATAAAAGATTATCAAAAATTTTAAAATTAATTTTATAAAGCTTAAATATAGTTTTGAATACAAATAAGCTTGATGACTTTTGAACTTTTTCATTGATATTTTTTAAGCTTTTAATGCTAATGCAATTAAGTCTAAAACTCTTACTTGTATTTGAATATTATCAGATTGAGTAATATTCAATATTCATTTACTCATAAGTTCTAATGACAAAAATAATTCTTTTTTATGTTGCTTATCATAGCCAGTTATTTTAATTCCTCTTTCTAGTCTAGCAATTACATGTCTGCCATTTTTTCATAACAATTTATACAAATATATTTTTTAAGTCGATTATTAAATTATGTTATACAAATTATTGAATCAAACTCTTATAATGCATCACAATTTTTTGCTTAATACACAAGACTTGTATGGCTTTTCTCAAAAAATTCTAAGAATACTCACTACAAAATTTGCCTCTATTAAAAAATAATAGTTAATTCTATAAAATTTGCATCTGTAGTTATGAATAATAATTTCAAATATTTTTTTGATTATTTGGTATCCTGCAAATACAACTTATTTTGATCAAACATAAAATAGTTATAACAAATCCCAAGTTTTTCCAAGTTTTTATCCACTTTCTCAACTAATTGCTTATTCAATTATCATATTTTAACTAACAACTATAGCCCACGCTGATTATTATTGCACTTATAACATTGTAATTTTCTATTTTTTAAATTTATCACTACATACAGTAATAAATGACTTAATATTATTTAATTTATATTTATACTCACTTTTGATTCTGTACTTTCTGAACAAATATTAAAATTATTTTTCAAATACTCTTTTACGTTATATTATCTGTGCTATTTTAGCTTTTTGTTATAAAAGCAAACATTTTATTTACTATATTATCATCATATAAAAAGTATAATCTTCTTCTAAATCAGATATATTATCAAAAAATTCATTGATATCCTGAAAATTATCTGAGAAAAAATTAGGTTAGCTTTCTAAATTATTTGGTTCATTTTATTTTCAAAATTTTGAGTGAAAAATAAAAAGAATAATAAAATTTAATTGATATAACAAGACCTTTAAAAGAATTCTATTTACATAATGCCATAATATTTTAGGTTATAAGAAATATTTTCATATGAATTATAGACATATTCTGTAATTGTTTATTAAACAAATTTGTATCATAT